CCAGAGGGCCTTGTGGAGACTGAAGCACCAACCGAGGACCATGCATGGACTGGACCTAGGCAGATGGGAAGCTCAGACTTCATGTGGGTTTCCTAGTAAGTGGAGCAGGGGCTGTCTCTCACATGGACTCTGTTGCCTACTTTTTGATCACTTCCCCCTGGCAGGTATGCCTTGCCAGGCCACAGGCAAAGAGGGCAAGCTCAGTCCCTATGTGACTTGTTGAGCTGGGGTGGATTAGTAGGGGGGCTCCCCTTTTCTGAGAAATAGGTTGAGAGGGGAGGGGGGAGGAGGAAAGAAAAAGGGAGAGTGGGACCAGGAGGAAAGGAGGGAAGGGGCTATGATCAGGATGTAAAGTGACTTAGTTAATTAATTTAAAAAGAACACAGTACCCCATGAGCTCTAGCCTGAAGAGTATTTCTGAGACACTAGCCCACTCCTGGTCACCAGTGAACATGTAACTTTCTCACATGTAACATTCCACTGACAAGTCAATCAACCCTATGCATTCTCTTCATCCATACCAGGAAAAAAATAACAGATTAAACAAACTGTGCCCACTACAAGGTAAATCTCCAGCTGGATCCAGCTGTGCTGATGTACACCCATCAGGGTGGGTGTGGGGAGCCATCCTCAGCAACTGGCAGGGATGTTGGCCTCCAAGAACAAGCTTTAGGAGCAAGGTGGATAGGGGTCCTGTCCTAAGACCTGAGCAGCCTCCTTCAAAATAGCTCTCAATGGGCTGAGAAGGGAAGAACAGAGGGAAGATACCACTGAGAAAGCCAGGTCAATGTCTGTCCTATTAACCACCTGGCAAGATGCTCAAGTCCTCCCCCTGGCCTCCATCATTGCCCTGCTCGCCCTCACCTTGTGCTTCCAAGCTCAGCTCTGACAATGGCTAGGACAGCTGACAACCTAGCAGCCTAACTGAAAACTCAGGGTAACATCAAAGAGTGGACAACTGTCCTAGTCAGGCTTCCTGTTGCTGTGATGGAACACCATGACCAAAAAGCAAGTTGGGGAGGGAAAAGCATTTATTTGGCTTATATTTCTATATCACTGTTCATCATCGAAGAAGTCAAGACCAGAACTCAAACAGGGCAGGAACCTGGAGGAGCTGATGGAGGGATGCCACATACTAAATTGCTCCTCATGGCCTGCTTAGTCTACTTTCTTATAGAACCCAGGATCAACAGCCCAGGATGGTACCTCCCACAGTGGGCTGGGCCCATCCCATCAACCACTAATTAAGAAAACACCCTGAAGCCTGATCTTCTGGAGTTTTTAATTGAGGCTCCCTCCTTTCATATAACTCCAGCTGTGTCATGTTGACATAAAAGCAGCCAGCACAGCCACCCAGCCAGGTGAGTTGTCTCTTCAGTCCTTGGCAACTCAGAGACTATTCGTTCTAAAAGCTTTCCCAGGGGGTACTGTGCTCACATGGCCAGCTGGGTGTCCATCAGCCCAACCTAGCTTTAGGGGCTTAGTGAGGCTGTAGCCTCCTGAAGCCATCTGGGTAACCAACAAGGGCCCAAATGAAGCCCTCTGTGCTGGTGTGACAGGACTGGATGGTGTCCCACACACAGCACAGACAGACAGGGAGAACACACATACTGCATACACACATGCAACAAACACACAGAAATGCACACTGGGAATTTAAATGCAGATGCACATTTAAACCAATAACTACACTCTAGAAAGTTCAGAGAAAAGGGGAGCTAGCAATCACATTTTAAAGAACAAGTACATAATAAAGTGTGGAAGAGAGAGAGAGCGCGAAAGAAAGAGTTTATTTGCATCTTAAATTAGGCAGATGAATTAGCAGCTCTTTAGCTTCTGGGAAATGTTTCAAAACAGGGCAGGACAGAGAGTTTTTATTTGCAAACACTATTAACCATTTCCTGTTTCAACCTCAGAAGTACCTGTGAATATGCTTTTTACCTGAGCTGCACTGCAGGGCCCTGTGCCCCCACGAGACTTCACTCTGCCCAGTAGGCCACAGCGGGTTTGGGGTCTAGATTCCGGCCATCCCCCAACCTCCTGTTTCCCTTGAAGTTGTTTCAAAATGATCCTTCTGTTCGCTGAACTTTCTGTCCTTGTCCCCACCTAGATGGAAACTTCCCATTACCTCCAGGGTATGGGGATCCCCTCTCCCCAAGTTTCCATCTGTGCTACTTTTGTGTCGCAATCTTGAAATAAGTACCCTGGAAACTCACGCTCCTCTGCTCAGTCCAGAAGGAGGGGAGGCCCAGGGGAGGGGGATTTCTGAGGACTTCTATCCACAATCCCCACCAACTGGGACCCTCCTACCTTTGCCTCAGTTGGAAATGGGTCCACACTGCCAACCCCAGCTCAGTAATCAAAGGGACTAGAGAGCTGACCCATACTAAAGATGCTTTAGGGAATGATTCCCGGTAGGAAAACAGAGCAACAGGTTCCTGCTAAGCCATACTGTGTAGGCAAGCAGCACAGTGGGAAAGCATGTGCGCTGCGGAGTGTGTGTATACTGGGAGGAAGTATGTGTGCTGGAAACTGAGTGTGTACTGGGACATGGCATGTGTATTGGAAGATAGCATATGTTTTGGAGGAGCGCATGAGTCCTGAGGATGGTGTGTGTATTTCAGGGTAGTATGTATGTTTGAGATCGCATGAGTTATATCATGTGTGTTGGGGATTGCATGTATATTTTAAGAGATAGCATTATGCTGGGGAACACTTTACTGGGGAATGGAGTGTGTTAGGGATTTCATAGGTATCGGAAGATAGCATGAGCATTGGGGTTGGGTGTGCATGAAGGATCATAGGTGTGGTAGGGATTGCATGTCATGGAATATAACACATCTGTTTGGAATTGGAAATATCGAAGAACGGCATGTGTCTTGGGAATGATTGTGTATTTGGAGATCACATGAGAATTGGGAGGTAGTATGTACTATACGGAATATGTGTTCTTGGGGATAGCGTATTTTGGATATGTGGGTTTGGGGAATAATATGCATGTTGGGGATTGTGAGTTGGGGATTTGTGTGGATGGTATAAGAAGTAAGTAGTATGCATTGGGCTGTGACCCAGAAATTCCTCTCTAGGCCTGGGGCCCTGCTGCTCCATTCTCAGTACTGCCCTTTCCTTCCCACTCTTTGCCTCCTTGCAGGCTCTGGGACCCACGAGGCTCAGACCCAGACCATCTCTGGAAAACATTCCCCTCCAAGTAGGCTGAAGTGGCTATTAGCAGATGGAAACCAATTTGCCCTACCCGAGGCCCAGACTTCCTCCTCACCCCATGGCTAGGGTGGAAAGAGGAAAAAGGGGCTAGAGAGGATGGGAGGAAGAAGGTACCATGCAGAGGGGGGAGTGAGAGAGACAGGCAGAGGTTCCCTCCCTCTTCCATGAAAAGATGCCCCACTACTTGCGGTCCTGGGTGTTGAGTAAACAGCTTGCTGCTTGGACTCCTCCTCTCCAGTCCTCATGAACTGCTCTGCACAGTCCCAGAGTCCCATAGGAAGACTCTAGACAGAGCATCACAACAAGGCTGGGTAGGATCTGTCCAGAATCTGCCCTAGATCTGTAGCCAGTGCCACTGTTGAGGGACTTGCTAGCCTGAACATGCCAGGGAGCCACAAGGGTGTCAAGGAGGCTCTGTAATAGTCAGGCCCGCAGAGGGGATCCCCCTAGCTTCTGCCCACAAGCCCCATACTGAGACTGGGGGCGGCCAGTCTGTGCCTCACTCACACTCTTTTTCCATGCCTGCGCTGTACAAAGTAACGTTTCCTTCCCCACCAGCCTGGTGCCTCTGAACTGGGGTGGCTGCCGCAGCTGCCAGATGTTTTCCAGCCAGGCTGATTATTTTAGGGTGGTTGAGACCCACACATCTCATTTCTAATATTAGCAGTTTTGTTTTTCCTATTTCCCATTCACTGTGATGAAACACTTAGAGCAGAACCGTTAAATAATCAGAGCTCCCCACAAATGACTAGCCAATGTCGCTGAGGCGGTGGAGGAAGCTGTGTACACAGATCTGCCAACCCAATATCTGCATCCCCAGGGAGACAGAGCCTGGACAGGTGGGGGGGGGTAGGTTTCCACCACCCAGAGACTGAGGAAGGTTGACTGGGAACGACCTAGAAACTATGATTATTCCAGCCTGGTGTTAGGTCTCTCAGGCAAAGAGGAAGACCCAGGACAGCAGGGCTAGCAAACCTAGGACCACTGTGGAAGCCAAGAAGACAATGATCCAGGCAGGTAGGCCCAGTGTCCTGAAGGGAAGAAGTTATGAGAGAAAGCCAGACCAGGTCCAGGGTTTTCTAGACCTGAGGGTGTGACTGGCTGAGAGGAGAGGCATCTTCTCAGGATCCTAGAAGAGGTTCCCTATAGCCCTTCCAGGCCTCCTCTGACTCATCAGCCAGGGATGGGGGGTAGCTGGGCTCTTGCTCCCCAGAAGTAAAGGACTAAGGCATAGCTCTGGCCACATATGCCAGACAAGGCCCAGCCCACCCTCACTGCAGCCATAGGCATCAGAGCCAGGGAAGACACCCGCCCTCCGAAGGAACAAGAGTCTGGCCCTGATCTCAGTCTCCCTCAGCCTTGAGAGCTATAGATCAGGATACCAGGAACAGAAAGGACCAAAACTGCCCACAGGAGGGGCTTGAAATGGAGAGGACCCCATAGTGGGGCAGGAAGCAAGGGCAGCTGGTCCTCTCTCTCTTCTCTCTGTTCCCCAATCGCTCACTAGTCTCTTACCTGCTCCTTCCAGGCATCTTTCCCTCCCACTCCCCTCCCCCACCCCTTTCTGCCTGTTCTCCTACCTCTGTGGAGGTGGAGGAAGAGGGGGCGGGAGCCAAGAACACGCGCATCTCCTCCCTCCAACATGACCCAGGACAGTTTCCTTTCCGCTTCAGACAACTGCCTGAACAGCCCAGGAGGAGGAAGAGACAGCGAGGCAGCGGGCGGCGGCGGCAGTGGTGGCGGTGGCATTGAAGGAGGCACAGCCAGGGGCTCTGGGCATGTGGGTCCGGCAGGTGCCCTGGTCACGCACTTGGGCTGTGCTACTGTTGAGCTGGCAATCAGGGTGGCTTCTAGGTATGTGGCTCCAAGGGATGTGGGATCAGGGTTGGTGGCTGGGTCAGGACTTGAAGAAACTGTCACCCTCCGTTCCTATCACTGGAGGAGAGAAACCTGAACACAGGGAACACCTGTGTTCATGGTTACCCAGATTGGCTCCTTTCTTAGCCCTAGGTGGGTTTTACAGATGGAGTGCACCTCAAAAACCACTCCCTCCTAGCTTTTAGGCAGACTGAACCATTTGTCCCTCTCTGGAGTAATGGTAGGTCTGGCCAGAGCTCTGACCTTGACCACTGTGGTCCTCCACCAGGCCCTGGTCCTTGGCCTTCCCCTGTGTTCTATAGTTGGGGACATCCCTGCATGAGGCCCTATATACTGTATAGGTGACTGGAGATTTTTTTTTTTCCAAGAGCACAATCAGCTGTATATACCCTCATGGGCACAGCTTCCAGTACTGGCATCTCTGGAGGACTCCAGAGTGCACATCCCTGGCCTCATAGCATCCATGGTGGACTCTTGGAAATGTGAAATTTGGGGTACAGCAATCCTGGTCTAATTCCTCACAGAGAAAATTTGGCTCACTGTGCTCCTCACTACCCTGTACCCCTTGACCCCTGCCCTCTACCCACTGGGCTGAGCCCTACCTTCACTGGGAAATCAAGGCCAGGGAAACAGTTTCCATGGGAAGTTACCTAGCTCCTGGGTCAGGGCTATGCCTGCAGAGCATGGGAATGACCTAGAGAAGCTTATACCCTTGTGCTGCCCTAACACACCTTTTGCCTGCAATGACATCCCCTTACTCATATGAAACATCAGTCACCTTCACCCCAGCCTCTCTACTACCATGAAGGCTGGGTGGGACTTAGGGGTGGGTACTTACCACTGCCTGGCCCTTTCCCAGGTTGCAGGCCAAGACTGGGTTGGGAAGCTGGGAATGATTTCCCTCCATGCTGGTCCATGGGGTGCTGTCAGGACCAAATGGATGAAACAGACCTGAACATGGTAGATGGTCCAAGGCCCTATGGATGAAAATGTCCTTTGACAAAACCTTGTCAGGAAACTTGGGGAACAAAGTTAGATTATGTGTCATCGGAGAGAAGGAACTGAGACAAAGGGTACTGTGACTCACTCTGGTGACCTGACAATCTGGGCTTGTCCCAAATGCAACTTCGTGACAAAGTCTGGAAAGACAGTTATATCTATGCAGGCCTATTTCTAGATTGTGTCTGACAAATGTCTCAAACCTGGTATGGCTCTTTCCACACTGGAATAGCTTAGCATGGAGTACTTTACATGGCTAGTGCCCTGCCATTTGGCAGCCCTGGACCTTTTTTGTCCAGGACATTTCTTACTTCCTGATTGATTTGCTTTCATTTCAGTCATTGCCACAGACAGTCCCTCTCATGCCTACTAGTGTTTTACAAGTCTCCCAACCTCAAAAGCAACTGCCTAGCAAGGAAAATTCAGGCTTGGAAATGGACTGTGTTGTATTCAGACTAACAGTCATAGTGGAGCATGCTCATCAAAAGTTCAAGGGCAGCCTGGGCTGCCTTGCAGCAGACACTTTTGGGGGAAAAAAACAAAGAAGATAGTCTACAAAGCCTTTGGTGAATGTGGTGACCTTTGGTGAATTACTGAATCTCTTTACCATTTTATCACTTTTGTTTTCTCTTGTTCTTTCATTGTGTTTTTTTCTGTATTATTGTTTTATCTTATTGTATGGGGTATTGTATGCATGTATGCACATCATGTGTGTGCCTCGTGTCTTCAGAGGCCAGAAAAAACATTGGTTTCCCTGAGGCTGGAGTTACAGATGGTTGTGAGACACCATGTGGGTGCTGGGAATTGAATCTGAATCTGAATCCTCTGGAAGAAAAGCCAGAACTCTTAACCACTGAGGCATTTCTCCAGCCTCTCACCTACAATTTGGGGAAAACAATTATTGCCTCATGTGGGTCATGAGATTTACTCAGACCATTTATGAAAACTGCCAAACACATCCTAAGATGCATTTATTTTTTGCTGCTTTGGTTTTGGTTTGGTTTTTGGAGGCAGGGTTTCTCTGTGTAATAGCCCTGGCTATCCTGAATTCACTTTGTAAACCAGTCTGGATTTGTACTCACAGAGATCTGCCTGCCTCTGCTTCCTTGAGTGCTGGGATTAAAGATGTGCCTTTCCTCCTTTAATGCCCAGCCTCCTAAGACACATTTCTTAAAGTCAGATTTGCTTTTTATTTAATCTGTAATATTAAAAGTATACATATATACATGTATGTATATACATACCTGTATGTATAACTTATTGAGTCCATTTAGCTTTGCTCATGTGTGTACAAGTTCAGGATTAATCACTTGGGACTGGACAATCTGAGGCAACTGATTCTCTTTCTCTCATTAGCCATTGGCCTCTTATAGCTCTTCATATAGGGGCAGGACCATGTGGCATTCCCTCTGTTGAAATCTGTGTGTCAAGGGGTATTATAATTATGCTAGTCTTGTGTTCAGTCAAGCATGGTTCAGAGTTCATGGGTGCATTTTCTCTGTAGTGTACAGGGAACATGCTATCAGGCTTGGAAATGCACCACCATGTATTCAGATTAAAGACAGTCACAGGAGAGCATGTCCATCAAAAGTTCAAGGAGAATATATCTCACACTTAAATGTGTGTTAGTTTAGAAAACCAACTTTTTTTGAGACAATGTCTCATCAGATTTCCCAAGCCAATCTCAAACTCAAAATTGTCCAGTACCAGTTTCTTAAGTGCTGAGACCCCAGGCATACAAAACTTCACCTGGCTCATTGGTACTTCCTGCCTTCATTAGCTTGGCTGGACTGCTGTCAGTATCACAGCTGGTGGGAAGGGAATGGGTAGGAAGCACTGTCTCAAGCCTGAGGTTCTTTGATTGATTGATTGATTGATTGATTGATTGGCTGGTTTTTTAAGATAGGGTTTCTGTGTGGTCCTGGCTATCCTGCAACTTGCTCTGTAGAGAAGGCTAGCCTTGAACTCAGAGATCCACCTGCATCTGCCTCCACACCCAACAGGCCTGAGGTTCTTAAGCTGGAACTTAAGATAAGAAGATCTTCGGTCCCTGTAGGCCACTATGTGCCAGGTCTCCCTCCTGCCTCTGAATTTTCCAGCAAACTTTGGGTTTCTTGGTATCTAGACACATCCCCTGACCTCTGCCTTTACCCTCAGGCATTAGACAATGTCCATAATTTCCTTTCTACACAGACAGCAGTCCTGCTAGCTGAAGCCTTCCCTACTCTAAGGTGACCTTATCTTAATCCCACAGCTATCCCCTACTCCTAGAAAAGTTGTATCCTGAGGTGCTAGGGTAAAGATTCCAGTATGAGGTTAGGAATAACTCAGCCCCTGTCTCCTCACTTCTCTGTGATGTTCTGGATCACTAAGCATCGGCAGCAAATGTTAGAAAGTCTTTTAGTTCTTATCTCCCCACATCTCCTGGGGGCATCTGGATGCAGCTAAAGCTGTGACATCATGCTTCTGGCTGGCTTGCTTCTCCCTGGCTGGGACTCTTGTGAGAGATGATTTTTCCTGAGAGTCTGCAGGTCCTCAGTCCTTTCTTTGGCTTGGTCAGCCCTTGCCCTTAACATCCTAGGCAAGAGATGTGGAGTATTGATTGGCTGGGGCATCTCACATCTACTTGAAACTGTAGTGCTGCTAATCCTTGTAGGTGCCTTTCTTGGATCCTCATGCTGGGGACATTTCTCCAGGTGGACATGGGAGATTTGATCCATTTGTAATGAATAAGGGGACTCCTGTCACCTGCCTAGCCATGCTTTCACCACCCCAGATGCTGAAATAAGGTATCTTGCCTAAATAAGGTATTGTGTGGTTATGATTTGGCCTCAGCCCACAGGGGCCTGTGGGCTGCAGTGAGCTTGCCTCCAGGCTCAGGCTCTGACTGAAAGGACTCTCCCTCTCAACCTGCCAAAGCTAACAAGAGCATGCCACCCACCTATCAACTCACCTCTGTACATAAATTTAAGAGCAAGCTCAGGGATATCGAGAAAACCCCTGTCATCTCTGAATTGTACATTTTGTGCAGAATTTTGTGAGGGCTAAGGAGCCCAGGAAGGCTCCCTAGGGGAGATAGCCTACCTTAGTGCCTTTTCTGTTGTTATAACAGAAAACTGAAGACTGGGTGATTTATGAAAAACAAAGTTTGATCATCTCAGGGTTCTAGGAGCTCCGATTCTGAGGTCAAGAGTGGAGTTCTTGATAGGGGGAAGACCGCAGGGTCCCCAGAGTGGTGTCAGGAATCCTAGAGGATAGAGCAAGTGTGCAAAGAGTGCTCAGTCTCACAGCCCAGCCTCTCCCTTGACAGCATATGATCTAACAGTCTGTGAGTGAGCCCCCAGTTGCCTCCACAGCTCTCCCTTCCCAGCATCACTAGCATATGACTTTGGGGTTAGTGTTCTGAAAGCTGGACAGGGGTGGGGCTGAATAGCAAAAGGCTAGTTATCACCATGGCACTCCCACGGGAGCACGAGTCCTGGGATAGATTGGGCAGGGGAAAGAGGCTCTGTACATCACATTCTGGGCCTCACTTGGGGGGGAGCAAGGGGTGAATGACTTCAACTAGGCTGGCTCTGGTGCATTTCCAAAAGGGGTTCCAGCCAGTCCTGGGTTCCCAGATCCTGGTTAGAGGCCCACAAGGTGAGAGACAAAGGGACCAAAACGTGAAAGAAGGCCCAAATCTCCTTATTGGCATGCACACTGCCAAGTAAAAGGCAGGCTCCTCTGTTGATTTTTACAAACAAAAAAGAGGGCATGTATATACTTGTATATGCACATTTATGTGCATGTGTGTGAACATGTATGTAGAAGCCAGAGGTCAACATCAGGTGTCTTTCTCAATTGCTCTCTACCTTAACTTTTGAGACAGAATCTCTCTCTGAGCTAGATGATCACTGGCTCAGCCAAGTTAGCTGTCCAACAAGCCCCAGTGATCCTCCTGTCTCTGCCTTCCCAGTACCACTACAGTACCATTA